AAAAAAAAAAAAAAAAAAAAAAAAGAAAGAGCCTGGGGAGTGGGAGGTGGTGTCCCTGTTTTACGGGAGCATTTGAAACTCAGAGGGGCGGAGCCACTGCTCCAAAGTCACACAGCTTTTCAGAAACCGAGGCAGGATTGAAATTCAGCTGTGACTGGCCGAGGGCGAAATCCTTTCTTCTTTCTCCCGAGTCCAGAGCCCTCTCCGGTGTCACCTGGGAGAGGGGGCCTCTCAGTGAGGTGGGCGCCCATCTGTATGCACCGCAGTAGCTGGTCCGACCCAACCAGGGGGAGCTCTGGAATGCAGAGACATCCTTCTTGAAGGAGTGGGTTTCTTCCTCCACAAAGGAGAAACATTGTTTGTGCTGAATTTTCTGATGCCCTTCTTTCTCTCCTTCCATCCCCCTCTTGCTCCCCCAACACCCTTGATCTCACAGTTGAGCCCTTACTTGTGTTTCCTGACGTGCATTTCTGCCCTGTAGTCCTAGACCCCAGAGCAGCTGTAGACCCAGGTGGCAAGGACACGGAGCATGTGCCGGTTAAGGGGGTGGCCTGAGAGCCCGGAATCCACATCCTAACTCCGTCCTATGCTAGCTGTGTTAACTGGGACAGATCGCTGGTCCTGCACAAGCCTCGGTGGGTCCAGCCTACACAGAGCTGTGATGCACGTAAATCATCGAGCTCGGTGCTGGGCTTGTGGGAAGTATGATTGAGCTGACGCGTCGTTGTTGATGGTGACCACGAATCCAGTATGTTTACTGATCACGCTGAACACGGTAAACAAAGTTCCTGCTACCAAGATGCATGGACCTCGTGTTTCGGTGGGGGAGAGAGATACTAAGCAAACAACTAACAAAACAAGAAAACCTCAGGTGGTAATGAAGTCATCGTGCCAGTGGTGTGGTAGTGAACCTTGAACATCCATTCTCTGGGGGAAAAAAGAAAAAAGAGCCTCGATTTGTAGCATTTGCCAGTTTTGGGGGGTATCGGTATCCCTACTGTGGGGGACTTCAAGTGACCAAAGTGGCACCCACTGACTCTTAAAATTCCTAAAAATTTAACAAGTGGGTCTTGTAAGGCCCCCAGACCTGGCTTCAGCCTTGGGTGTAAGTGCATAATGTGGTTCGGGAAGGATCTGAAGAGCTCTGAAGATGAACTGTACCAGCAGAAGGGTGTTCTAGGCAGAGGAGGGCTGTGCAAAAGCCCTGGGGTTGGAGAGAGCTGGGTGTGCTCCAGGAGCAGAAGGTGGTTGGTTTTGGCAGGACTCAGTGGGGTGGAGGGAGAAGTGACAGGCTGGGCCGGCGGAAGCCTCATAGACCACGTTTGGATTTTATTCTAAGGCCACAGGAAGTCTTTGGAGAGTTGTAAGCGGGGGAGTGTCTGTGTCTGATTTGCACTTTTTTTTTTTTTTTTTTTTTTAAAGGCTCTTGGGCTATTTTGTGAAAGGCCGCAAGAGACCAGTTAGGGGAAGTCGTTGTCACCCCAGGGAGACGCATGGATGCTGGGACTGGTGTGCCTGAAAGGGGAGAGGTTGAAGTGGCTGGATTCAGGTAGAACTGTAGGGATGTGACACAATTTTTTAAAAGTATATTTACTTTTATTTATTTTGAGAGACAGAGAGAGAGAGAGAGAGCACGCACATGCACAAGAGGGGCAGAGAGAGGATGAGAGAGAGAATCCCAAGCAGGTTTCACACTGCCAGTGCAGAGCCCTGTGCAGGGCTGGAACTCACGAACCCGTGAGATCGTGACCTGAGCCGAAACCAAGAGTTGGACGCTGAACCGACTGAGCCAGCCAGGTGCCCCCAGGGGTGGGACAGGTTTTATCTTCAGGGCTGTTTACCATGAATACACCCAGGCTGCTGCAATATCTGTTCTGTCCTGGGGAGGAGGAAGGGACTGAGACCATCGGGGCTCACTCTCTGTCCGACCTACTTTTCCTTCTCCACCCAGCGGGATGCTGTGTTTACCGCCTCCTGATCAATCCAGAAGAGGAGGTGAGGAAATCTGTTTATCTTGGGTCCAAATGTAAAGCAAAACCAACAAAAACAAATCTCTTCTCAACTCGGACCTCCTTCCTTTGATTTGTGCAGAACAGGACCCTGTTCTGCACTTGGCATGGGGGAGAAAGATGAGAGGTTCTGACTTGGATTTCCATCTTTGCCCTTGGGCAACTCTTGGGTGTGTATGACACACGGAAATGCTGTGGGTGTCGGCCTGGCAGCTTATGAAAAAAGATGTCACCTGGCTCTGCTCCACTCCCAGCCTGTCTCTGTATGGTTTTTAGAAGGACACGAGAGGACTCCCGTCTTTCCGGAACCGTGCCGTCCAGTAGAACTTTTCTTGACGACGGACGTGTTCTGTAACTGTGCCGTCCATCACTGTGGCCACTAGCTATCTGTGGCCACTGAGTACTGGAAATGGGGCCAGCATGACTGAGAAACTGAATTTTCCATTTTATTTAATTTTTGTATGTATTGTGTTGGACACCGCAATTCTGGACCACATGTCGTCCTCCATTGCCTTAGAGACTTTGTCTTATGGAAGTTGATTGGAGATCCTAGTTTTTTTTTTAATTATTTTAAGTTTATTTATGTTAAGAGAGAGACAGAGTGAGCTGGGAAGGGACAGAGCGAGAGCAGGAGAGAGAATCCCAATCTGACAGCACAGAGCCCGACGTGGGGCTCGAACCTGTGAACCATGAGATCGTGACCTGAGCCAAAGTCGGATGCTTAACCAACTGAGCCACTCAGGCACCCCTAGCCTGGACAATTTATATTACTCAGAAGCCTATTGCTGTAATTAATTCTTTATATTTCATTTGTTTTAGTAAGCATTTTTGTGCATGACTCCTGACCGCACGATTTTTTTTCTAGGGTACGTAGTGAGAAATGGAATTACCAGGTCATAGGGCATATGTAGTTTTAATTTTTAATTGAAATAGTTATACCAGGTTATGTTCCCGTCAGCTGCGTGAGAGAGTGCCTGTGTGCCGTCTGTAAAACACGTGATTGTATCAAATACCAACATGCATGCCATTCTAATAGGCAAAAAAATGGTATCCCAAGGTAATTTGCATTTTCCCGTTTACAAGTCAAATCGAACATCTTTTCCAAGCTAATGACCATTTGTTTATCGGTGAGTTGCCTGTTCAAATTTCTTGCTCATTTTTCTGTTGGATAGTTTTGTCAATTCATTCAGCAAATGTGTACTGGAATACCTGCCACGTGCCAAGCCTTATTCTGGGTGCCAGGGATGTTGTGGCAAGTAAAATAAACAGACACACCTGCCCTCAGAGAGGTGGTAGTCCAGTTGTAGGAGAAGGACCTAAGCAAAAGGAATTGAGAAGCTATGTAATAATGTTAGATGGGATAAAAAGAAGGAAAAGCAGATAGAGAAGAAGGAAGGAGATAGTCCTACCCACTGGGGGTAAGACTCAGTTTTAAACAGGATGGCCAGGAATCTTGTCCTTTACTTATTCATTTGTAGGCATTCTTTATGTATTCTGTGTACTAATCCTTTGCCCGTTCTGTGTCGCACACATTTTCCTCCAGTCTTTAATTTTCTTTTGACTCAGATGATGGCACTTTAGCCTTGCTCTTTATTTTTTTTTTTAATTAAAAAAAAAATCTAACTTGTTGATTAGAATATATTCATGTAAAAAGCGTAAGTTTTTTCTTCTGATCTTCCCAAGCAACCCGTGTCAAGAGCTCTGGTTTATCTTTCCTGATTATTTTTTTTGTCCTCACCACCATGTGACACTCTCCCCACCACCCTGCTGGCAGCTGAGCACTGGCAGTTTCCGGCTGTTTCTCCGTAAATACAGTTCTGATCTCCTACCTTCTCACGGTCGCAACGGCTCCATCTTGGAGAGGATCTCTGTAATTCATTGTTTGAGCAGCCCTTCTGTTGGGACACCAGGGTTCCTCCTAGTTCTCCTTTCCTCCAGGTGATGGGGCAGTCCTGCATTCCTTCTGCTGCCCAGGAGCTTCTCAGATTTTTGAGGGACTGTACCCACCAGCACCCTGCATGCTAGAGGTGTGTAATATTTTGATTTTGTTTTCTCCCCCACAGCTCCATGGCTACATGGAAAACAAGCCCCTCGGGCTTCAGATCTTCATTGGGACAGCTGACGAGCGGATCCTTAAGCCCCACGCTTTCTACCAGGTGCACCGCATCACGGGAAAAACCGTCACCACCACCAGCTATGAGAAGATCGTAGGCAACACCAAAGTCCTGGAGATCCCTCTGGAGCCAAAGAACAACATGAGGGCGACGTAAGGGCTTGGGGGCCGAGGGTGGTGGGTCTTTATGGGGAAGTGAGGGGGACCCAGGGGCAGGGATTTGGTAGTGGGGACTCTCTGGAGTTGAGTTGGCGGAAGGAGTCGGGGATGGTGGTTCCCACTCTGCGATGGGCCCATAGAGATTTGTTTGAAAAGTTTCTATTTCAAAAGCTTTATGTCTAAATACTTTTCTTGTGTGCTGGGAGAAAGACTACCTATGCGTCTTTGGATTAGGTTACTTGGGATGAGGCTAAGTTGATTTACGTGTCAGAATGTATTTGGCCTAAAGAAAATTTTTAAAGACGCAGATAGGTTGAAACTCACAAAGGAATAGGCGTGTAGCTCAAATTTGGGAAACGTTGCACCCGTGCACTGGAGTTAAAAAAAAAAAAAAATC